GGCAATGTCTATATCTCGGTGAGTAGCATTTCTTCGTTCACCTTATCGCTTCGAAATGTAGGCTCTACAATGAGCACACTTTCGAGGCTGTCACCTGTTTTGTTTTTTTTAGTTTAACATACACTGGGGCCAGAGAAGGACACATGCCGTCCATTCTCGCTATGATTCACCACTGCAATTTCACACCTATTCCGGCTATTTTGATTTTGGTGAGGCTTCTTCTTCTTCTCACAATTGGTTGCAATTTTCATTCTTTGTGTGAGGTAGCATTTTATTCGTCACAAGCCAAAGTAGCTTGCTTCAAGTTGAGAAATAAACTTTTCGTGTTGAAATGCATCAGCTTCATTGCGCAATGAGTGTCTGAAGTGGGTTGTGCCTGGATGTCCAAGTCGGTAATGAGCGCTGTTTAGCAATTTCATCCTCTATTTTGGATAGTCGTTTGATTATGATTCGAATGTATCTCAAATGATTTGCACGCTGCTGAAGCTAGAGATGATGTGCTCTTTACTATTTTGTCCTTCACAGCTTATCCTCGCCGTGGGCTACCAGTTTTACAGTGACCTCTTCTCATTGATTGAATTGGCAGGTTTTGCATTCGCTTTTATTGCGGCATTGGCGGTGGGTGCCCTTCTTTACATGCGCTACAAGGAGCCCAATCTGAAGACATCGTTTCAGGTGCATTTGTCATCAACCTTTGCGTCTGTGTTGTGTATCAGTTTGTCTAAGTAGATTTTGTTATCGTGATCGACACGAACAAGCACCTTATCTAAAACACGGTTTTTTGCCTTCCTTTAAGTAGTTGCCAATTTTCTTCCCAATCCTATTTCTTGGGTGCGATCTTCTCATACTTGTGCTGACAATCTACCAACAGCCGCGTGAGTCGCTTTCCAACGTCATTCTTATGCTGGTGGCGCTTCCAATCTACTGGTTTGGTGTTTCATGGAAAAATAAACCAAAGAGCTTCCAGAAATTTATCTGTAAGTAAACGGGTTTCACTCAGTCGTATTGTGAAACACTGAGTCGGTC